TCCCTCCCCCCCCCCACACTCACTCCCGCACTGTCTCCTGCCCCCTCTCCCCTCACTCACTGCCTGCTGCCTCATCTCCCCCCTCCCCCTCACTCTCTCAGTGTCTCTTGCCCCCTCTCCTCTCCCCACTCATTCTTGCACTGTCTCCTGCTCTGTCTTCCCCTCTCCCCCTCACTCACTGTCTCCCTCCCCGTCTTCCCCGTCCCCCTCACTCTCTCACTGCCTCCTGCCCCTCTCCCTTCACTGACTGCTTCCTGCTCCAACCCCCACCTCTCTCTCTCAGCCTCCTGCCCCCTCCCTCACTCTCACTGCCTCCTCCCCCATCGCTGTCTCTTCCCCCTCCCTGTGTCTGCCTTTTTGCTGAGCCCAGATCTTGCCGAGTGAATGGTTCAGCCTGTCACTGCCCTGGCCAGATGGGTGGAGTCCTTCCGATTTGATCTCTGCCAGGGGTGAGTGCTGGGATGTTTATGGAGCTGGTACACAGGAGGAGGAACATGAGAGTGAGAGAGAGGACACGAGGAGAGGTAGCGGAGATGCTTTCTCAGTGAGAGTCTGGGGCAGGTAGGGCTCGGATCTGATGGATTGCAGCCCAGGCTAGACGGAGGCCCCCCCACCCCACCCCAAAACAAAGAGGGGTATTAGAAAATAGTGAGTGCTCAGGTCCTGGAGGGACTCTGTCTTTGAGACCTCAGCCCTACACTGCACAGAAAGATCCCAGGTCACAGTTCCTCTGCTGCCAGTTGAGATGACACCAGTCTGGGGCAGGGCGTGCGAGGGGGCAAATTTCAAGGGGCTATCTCTCTCTCTCGTGCTCGCTCTCTCTCACTTGCTCTCCCTCACTTGCGCTCTCTCGCTCAATGTCTTTAGTTCACATTCTGTTTACACCCCCATGACCTTTCCCGCCCCCCAGCAATACAGGGATGGCAGGGGGCGGGTGGCATTGACCCGGTGGAATGGCGTGCAGGAAGGCTGGAGGGAGGGCCCAGTGGCCATCTCCTTCCTGCATTGGCGTGTTTCCACCAACGGCCCTGCCTGCGGTGGTGCGGTGCGTTTTGTCCCTGGGCGGATCCAGGTCTCGTTCATTATGTTGGCTGTGGGGCGACCGTGGAAAGCCGTGGCCTGTACGGAGAAAGGCTCCGTTCGCTTGCAGGTGTGCCCCCTGCCCCTGCATTTGAGTAGCCACCTTGTTGTCTCTGTGTGTGTTCCAGACATCAACCTGGCTGGGGAGCCCAAACCGAACCGGCCAAAGAGCGGCCAGAAGAGATCAGCTTCTGACATGTACGGGTGAGTGAGTGGCATCAGCTCCCCTGTCGGGGTTCGCTCGGTTTGTGTGGGAGATAAAACAGGGGTGGGGGGGCCTGGAGGGAAGGTCCAGCGGGGGGGGGGGGGCCTTAGAAAGGTCCCGCGGTAACAACGATGACGGGGAGCAGCCCCGCGCAGGCTGGAGCAAGTCGGAGGGAAAGGAGATTGGGTCAACGCACACATCGGGGTACCGAGGCAGCGTCAGTGCAGGGTCTCGAAGCCCCAGACCCCGGGCAGGTCAGACAGGAGGAGGGACTGGGACACGCCCTCACTCAATGCCCCTGACTTTACCTGCCCATGCCCCAGACTTTCTTCCCCGGCCTCGGGGTCAGGGGGAGTGGCGTTCCTAGGCGCCAGCACTCCGTTTTCACTTCCTTCATACATCGCTCCCCACTCCCCCCGCGAATCCTACTCCCCCCACCCCCACCGCCTCGCCACTTCACTCAACAAATCCCCCCGCAACTCCCTTCCATGGCGGCCGCATCTATGCTGACCCTGCACCTACCCCCACCCCCCCAGCCTCGAACAACTATCCCCTGCTCCACACGCTTAACACTTCCTACCTTGTTGGAAATGACTTGCTGTTGTCTTTGCAGGTCCACCTCCGACCTCGACTATGACTATTACCGCAGCGATTTCTACGACAGGTAAGGAAATCTCCGCTGCGGGTGGTCGCGTCTTTAACGCCACGCCCCGCCTGAGCCACTCCGTGCTCGTCCCCCTCACCCTCGTCCCCCAAAGCCCTTCACCTCCTGCACTTGCCTTTAACCCGTCTCCCCCCACCCCCCACCCAACTCCTCCTGCTCCGCTCCCCTCACCACGTGCAGCCCTCGGCCATGTCTCCCTTCGCACTTCCGTGCCCCCGCACTTCCGGGGTCCTCACCAACCCCCACCCCCCAGAGGGCTGTGCGTTTCTCTGCAATCTCCGTAGGAGTTTCCTTTGGTTGGCTGATGCCACACTGACAATGGGGGCGGGCACACCTTGGCTGATGGGTGAGGAGCAGCGAGCGACCAGCTGCCTCGTCTGAGTGGAGGGTAGGGTGGAGGTCAGCAGGGTGGGGTGGGTTTTGCTAGTGTGGAACCACCTGGCAGTGCGTGTCCTCCAGGGGGAGGAAACAGAGCTTGCTCGTTCCCGTGTCTGGCCGGAGGGGAGAGAGAGGTGGGGGGGTGGAATAGGGCGGTCTGCGTGCCGGGAGATATCTGGGGCTAGATGTTCAGAAGGGCTGGGAGCTGAAGGGATGGGGGTCATGGGGCGGAGGGCGGGCGCAGGAGCTCTCTCTGCGAGCGAGAATCTGGCAACGAGGCATGCATCCTAATTTTGTTTCTTATCTGCGTGCGTGTTTCTCTTTTCATTTCCCCTTGCAGTGCTCCCCCAAGCAGACAGTCAGAGGGCTATGAGATTCCGTCACTAACCAGGTAAGCGTTCGCTCTCTGACACCCGACGGGGCACTGGGCTCCCCCCGCAGTGGATGGCCCACCCGTTCGGCCAGAATGACGCGGTTAACCCCAGCCCATTCCACAGGAGATTTGAAAGGGCAGTGGGGGCTTGATTGTAAAGCAGAACATTGCAGTGCTCTGGGGTTGGAATATCATGGAACCTCTACAGTGCAGAAAGAGGCCACCCGGGCCATCATGTCTGCACTGACACTCCAAAGAGTGTCCCACCGATTTGGGTGTTCTCTCGTTTGAACCACATTGCGGGGATAAATATTGGGGTCCCAGCAGGGAGTGCTCCTCAATACATCCCCCGATTGCATGATCTGATCTGTTTCTGCAAGATCAACCTCTCATTCTCCTCAACCCCAGTGAGCACAGGCCCAACCTGCCGAACGTCTCCTCGTAAGACAAACACCACCCTCGTCCCGGGGGGATCAGTCAAGCCAACCTTTGCTGACCTGCCTCCTGCCCGAGTATTCACGCGCAGGGTGTGTGCAATGAGCTGCCAGAGAAACTAGTGGAGACTGGTATAATTACAGCATTGAAATGGCATCTGGATGGGTACGTGAATAGGCCGGGTTTGGAGGGATATGGACCAAATGCAGGCAAACAGGATTAGTTTAATTTAGGATATCTGGTCGGCATGGACACGTTGGACCGAAGGGTCTGTTCCTGTGACGTATGACTCTATATCCAGTGTTAAGTAAGGAGACAAAACTGAACATGGTTCTCCATTTGTGGTCTCACCAGTACCCTGTGCGATTATAACAAGACTTCCCTACTTTCACACTCCATCTCCATTGCAGTAAAGACCAGAATTCTGTTTCCTAATTCTTTGCTGTACCTTGCGCCAACTTTCTGTACTTCCCTTTTCTCCTCGTGCACCGTTACTCTGACAGATGTGAAAACCGTGATGACGTGTCTGTCCTTTGTTGCAGGATGTACCCTTACCCAAGCAGGGTGCCACCTCCTCTACCCCGGCCAGTGACAATCGCCAAGCGCCCCCGTGTCACAGTCCCTGTGCCACGAAGAGGCAAAGGCAGCTTTAACACCAAATCCGGGCAAAAATCAGCAGCGTCAGGAAAACCAGGTACAATCGCCAGAGGTTTCCATTGGTCTGTGAGTATTCCGAATCCTCGGCACAGCTTCCGCTTGAGATTACTCACAGAGTGCAGCTCCCTCTACACTGTCCACCCCATTAAACACTCCCAGGGACAGGGACAGCATGGGGTTAGATACAGAGTAAAGCTCCCTGTACACTGTCCCCCCCCCC